CAGCTGCTGGCTAGCCGTTCGAACGGCACTTCCAGCACCTATTCCTCCATCCTCACTGTTTCACATTAAACCCAAACAGCAACTCACCAGGCTTGCCGGTACGATAATGCGTTTTTGCGCTAAACATGACGCAGTCAGATCGTCAACAGCGTAAATAGCTTCTGATTTACAGTTTAGCCGGTGAACCCATGTCGACTGCGTTACAGTTCAACACATTTTTGCTTTTTCTTGCGTCCAAAGGGGAAAGGGCGTCGGCTGGGGCGGTAGCTGCATAGCGTGGCCACATGAAATCTTAACCTTCAAAACGCGTGATTACTATAGATTTACTCGATGGTTGGTTGTTCATCGAATCTAGTTGGGCTAAGGAGCCGAATTTGAAATTTTTTATTTGTATGTGGACGGGAAGCGTCTCCTTAAAAAATCAGCCTTCTAGCTTTTCTGGCCCCCATGTTATTAAATTCACATTAAAATTTTCACATATCCATACTTGAGTGCAAAGGTGTTAGGACGCTGGATTTGAAATCTTTTGGTCATGCATGGGCTGGGAACATCCCCTTACAACTTCAACTTTTAACTCTTTTGTTTCCTGATTCAGCAGTTTTCATGTCAAAATTCCCACATGTCCATGCATGAAACTCGAGCGCTCCAAGGAGCTGAATTTGAAATCTTTCGGTCGTACATTGGCAGCGAACATTTTCTTAAGGTCTCAGCTTTCCCACTCTTGTGTTTCTCAAGTTTTAAATTTTATCTTAAAATTTTCACGGGTTTGTGATGAGACCCGAGCGTAATAAGGAGCTGAATTTGAAACCTTTTGATCGTATGCGAACAAAGAATATTCCCTTAAAATTCGAGCTTCCTAGCTCTTCTCGTTCCCGAGTTAGCGGTTTCCCCGCCAAAACTTCCACGTGTCCGTACGTGAGACGTGGACGTGCGTGAAAGTTAACATCACTTTCTTGAGGTCGTATTTAGCCAGAGAACAGCTGGCATAATTTTAGCTTCAAAGCTTGTCTGTTTGTCAAATAAAAATACCCGGACAGACGAACACACACACACGTACAAACATACACACAAACACACACAGGATCATCACAGTATGCGTTTTTGAAGCATACTGCAACGCTCTGGCGCTGCACCGCAAAACGCATAAAAACACGTAAAAGGCAATAGAACTTATTTGCCATTCAAATCTCAAAATGCTGCAGAAATGAAGAGCTGATTAATAATTACTGATGTGGACGTCCTCCCCAGATAAATTTCTGGCTTCAATAGCGGTGCGGGTATCCAGAAAAGCAGGCATGCACTGCACGTCATCGTTCTCTTATTTCGGTCACGACCCGGGAACGACAGCTGGTGCACAACCCGTGGATTCACATCCGACAGTTCCTGGAGCGTTCGCACAGCCAGAGGAAGGAGTTGGAGCTGTTGTCCTCGTGTTTCAGGAGATGGTGTTTTCGGGATGTAATTTTGGTGCTAAAGTGCAAATAATGAAATACATCACAAGCTGTGACTCACAGAGGTTGTTCTGAATATCTGGCGTACCAGTCCATGATGCCAAAGAAGTTTAGCTACGTTCGATACTTTTGGAGCGCCGCGGTGCTTTCTGTCCGGCCCAGCACGGAAGGCATGAGGAGAATAGACCTGTTCCGTCACCCATGATATTTTTGGTAGACGTGGGACCGTAGTTAAATATGTGAGGGATTCCTACCGTTGTTGTTTTTTTTTCTGCTTGATTTTTGAATTGATGGCGTGAGTGCCATTCCTCAAACCAAACAGTTACTTTGTCTCCTCCTCCAATATTTACTCGGTTCGCAGTAAGCGCAGAGGGGAGAAAAGCGACGAACTGAAAAGAATATCCACACTTAAGCTAAACTTGATGCGAGGCAAGTCATGGCGTATTAGAGGCAAGGTAAACCGATTCTTGCTTGTTTGCGAAGTCCCTCTCCTGCTGCCGAATGTGGGATGCGTAGTTTTGACTTTATTAGCTCGCTGATTGGGCTTTGAATTCCGTGAAGCTGAATTTCACAGCCTCCGATAAGTTCGAAAAGGTGCTCTCAAGCACAGTTGAAAGGATGCAGCACATTTTACAAATGCTTCAAAGACTACTCGATGCGCATTCTTGGAGTAATTGGTAGCTCATGCGAATAATTAAAATTAAATGGTGAATTATCCAAATCGGTTTCCGCAGTTGTCCT